TACAGTGCGGATTCCAGACAGCAGAGCTGAATTCAAGTATTGGTCTAATAAAGTTTTTGAATATTTGAGGGGCTTCCACAGAGAGGAAGGGGGTCAACCTGTTTTCCAAACACCCGAAGGCTAGACAAGGAAACTGAAGAAGGAGAGATTCAATCTGGAAATAAGGAGGAATTTCCTAACAGTGAGAGCAATCAACCCATGGAACAGAATTTGCCTTCAGAAGTTGTGGCAGCTTCATCCCTGGAAGCTTTCAAGAAGAGACTGGACTGCCATCTGTCAGAAATGGTGTAGGGTCTCCTGTTTGGGCAGGGAGTTGGACTAGATGACCTACAAGGTTCCTTCCAACTCTATTAATCTGTATCTGTATCTAATCTGTATCAAATAGTCACTAAATGAACTGTTGTAAGTTGAGGACTGCCTGTATTAAGATTCAGAGTATAACTTGGCATAGCTCACTGCCTGCTCCCCGTGGGGGTATTGGCAACAAGTGCCTTGATTTCCAGCTATTTGTGATAGTCATTCCTTTCCATTCTTTGTGAAAAGTTGGTGAATATAAGTGTGATATAAGTCTGTAGCCCACAAAGTTAATATTTAAAAAAAAAAAAGATTAAGGAAGAACACAACTCCGGACACACATTTTATTTACACCATTTCAGACTAAGCTTTTATTTTTAATATTACAAACCATTTGTTTTTCCTTTATTCATAAATCACTGTAGTGATATAAACACTAATTTCTAAAGACAGATATACACACTTGTCAGGTTTAAAGATCTGTAGTTGTTTTGAAGTCACAATATTCTACATATGGTATTAATCAGTTATTTTTAAAATCAGTATTCATATAATCAGTAATAATTTATATAACCAGAAAAGAAATCAACATTCCCTATATCAGACATACATTTGAATAAAATGAATGATTGGAGTGTTCTAAGTTTTTTTTTTCTCATTATTTTATTTCCACAAAAATATTTTCCAACAGTGTGTGGCAACCTCATTTGTGTGCAAGAATAAACATCGGTTTTATGTATTTTATTTTTATTTAACTAAGGGTTGCACCAAATGAAACAGCCACTTGATTCAAACAAAAATGACACATTGACTTAAATCACTTAAACATCAGGAGGATTTATGTGTTGAAAATGGAATTTCTGTAAGAAAATAAATATTTATTTCACAGTCATTTTTTGTTTTTGTTTTCTTTTTTAAAAAAGAGGTGTTTCCGAGTGCATACAGACGTGCAGTTTTTTTTTTTTTATTATTTTCAAGCAATTGAATCACAATGGAATTATTTTCCTCACTGCATTGTCCAGGATTGGAATAAGAAATCCTCAATATCTGGGAATCTCTCTCTCTCTCTCTTTCTCTCTCTCTTTCTTTCTCTTTTTCTTAAATTAAAGAAAGCAGCTCTACAGGTTTATAGCAGAATTAAGTGTGCACAGCACTATTGGCTGGGAGATGTGAAACCACAAATTCTCCTACCCTGTATTATTATAGAGGTTTCTCTTTCAAAATAAAATAAAATAAAAAACAAATGGAGAAACTTGCTGCGTTGAAAAGGAGGAGGAGGAAGAGAGGATTATTCCGTATTCAAAGAGTAGCTAAACATATCTGGCTAAAGGCATTGTTGCAAAATTGCAAGAAGCTGGCTTGCTTCAGAGAAGACCAGGAAGCAGAATCCAGGTACGTCTGTATGCACCCTCGGTTTCTGAACTCAGAAACTTTAATATCCTGTGCTAGATTTTCCCACGGTGTTTAAAAGTTCACGTAACAAATGGCCCCTTCCATCCTAAACATTCATATTTTCTTCACTACTGCAAAGAAGACAAAAAGGAGAGCGTAGGAGAAAAACAATCACCACCACCTATATTTCTCTCTAGGAACTCAAGAAAAACTGAGGAATAACACAGCAGTTCTCCTTGATGTTGCCTTCGTGGCTGGAGAAATTACATCAGAAGGATAACTGGGGGGAAATTCCTTCCTAACACAACCCTCCAATAATTCTTAATTTGATGTCACAGCAAGGTTAGGGTCGGTCTACGGAAGCTTCTCACAAACATGAAAGAAATTCTCTACAAATCAACCAAGCTAAGTCCAGAGGGACATCAATTCTGCGTGTGAATTTGGATCGCTGGATAATTTTCCTACCTGCAAGTGAACATTTGAGATTGTAGATGCGTGGAGTAGAGGGGTGTGAAGAACACTTAGATTTCTGATTGGTACCTGAATTTCCAAAAGCTGTGGCTGAGGTCTATCATTTCAGGAATAAAACATGGCCAGTAAAAAGTCCTCATTCTATGTTTGCTGAAGGTAGCATATAACTATCTTCCACCAAAATGAAGTGGTACAGTTGTTCTGCTTTTAATGTCTTTAAAATAAAAACCAACAAAAGTAATGATTCTTTAGTAGCCAATGTTTTTCATCATTCAGTGAGGGTTCTGTGCGGGGTTTCTTGCTCTCTCTCTCTCTCTCTCTCTCTCTCTTTCACTAGCTCTCCTTTGCTACACTCAATCCTGATTTGAGTCAAAACCTGATACAAATGTTCCAGAAACCTGGTTTTTCAAATCTGGTGAAACTTTATTGATGGTTTATTGTTCAACTGATCGTATTGCATGCACATTTTAACGATGACAAAGAGTTAAAAAGCCTGATCACAAACACTTCTTAAACAGCAGAATTGCTTATAGCAAGTTGGCAAGTTCACAGCAGTGTATTAATCATTGTTAACTGAAGGCCCTTTTAAATTTTTTTTTTTGTAATTTTTAGATCCTGCACGGCACACATGAGTATATAACTGTCTTCAACAAAATTGTAGCGGTACGGTTGTTCTGCTTTTAATGTCTTTAAAATACAAAACAAAAAAACAGAAAACCCAAAACGAAAATCAAGAAACCCTGACAAAACACTCCAATTAAGAATAATAGGTAATAATATATGCACAGACAAACTGCAATTTTTGTTTTTTGTTTTTCTAGTGGTATCCGAGTCTGCGGCTTTGGCATTGCATCTTGCACAAATTGCAGAAACAAGTGCATAGGATGGGCATCAGTTATGAGGACCTAATACATTCATCATGGACCTAATTATCATGGAAGGCTCAAAGGGGCCTTGAATTTGAAATCAGAAGCGGCAGCAGAATTGGATCCTTTGAAGAATTGCAGTTTGTTTACATGATGCAACGTTTGTTCGAAAAAATACCAAACGCATATGAAGGGCATGATTACCAATACTCATTGATTGCAGAATTTGTAAATGCGCCTATAAATCTGGACTAGAAGTAGCATGTAAAAATGAGAATGAGTGGGCATGGGTGTATGTGGGTGTGTTTTTCTCTCTCTAACTAATAATAATCTACTGGGTTTAAAATCTAAAACATCGTCAACGTGTAAATTTCTCAAACTGAATAATTCTACTTCACAGATGTAAATCTTATACACTTATTATTATTATTATTATTATCATCATCATCATCATTATTATTATTATTTAAAACCGGTACAAAGAATTTTAACTTTTTATTATTTTCTTTTTTGTTTTTTTGTTTTTTGGAAAAAAAACGAAAAAAAAAATAGAAACAGTGCTTTATCACCTCTTTTTTTTTTTTTTTAATTCTCCCATAATATAAAAGTTCTGTAATGATATCAATAATTTATTATACTGGAAGAAATATAAAAAAGAATGCTTGTTTATGATTTAACGAGCAGGTAACTCTCTTTATTTACTTAAATATATATATATATTTTCTTAAGTTTTCGCGGGTACTTACATGTATGGTATTCAGCTTTGTTCGGGTATTTTCCCACGTCATTGTAGTTGTGGTTTTAAAGTTGTAGCAATGTTTCGGCAGAATCTCATCTGCCATCATCAGGCTTCTGTAAAGCACAACTACAATGACGTGGGAAAATACCCAAACAAAGCTGAATGCCATACATGTAAGTACCCGCGAAAACTTAAGATAGATATATATATATATGTATATGTTATTTTTGTTTGTTTTTTTGTGTGTATTATTTTTTGTTGCCTAAACACCTAGTTACGATTGGAGCTAAATGCTGCCTGATGGAATGCGTTAAAAGCTTGCCCTTCCATAGCTTTTAATAAGACATTATGTACAGATGTCAGTTCAAGCACCCTTCTTGTAACTTTCCCCCCCACCCTCCCTCACCCCAACTCAGAATTAACAACATAACCTTTGGCTTTGAAGAAACAGTGAATAATTTAAGACAGCTGATATAGAATTATAAGGTGCCTTTGGGGGGGGTCCCCCTTTTTTATAGTTAATTCGGTGGTGCCCCATTTCCACCTCCTTGGTGTACCTCTCTCTCCCCCTCTTTCTTTCTTTCTTTCTTTCTTTCTTTCTTTCTTTCTTTCTTTCTTTCTTTCTTTCTTTCTTTCTTTCTTTCTTTCTTTCTTTCTTTCTTTCTTTCTTCCTCACTCTCTCTATCTCTATCTCTCCCCCCACACACCCCTTTTGAAAATAAAAAAATAAATGTCTTATGCAGGAAAAAAACAAATAAACCATGATATCACATACACGCTTACAAAACAAGTGAGGAATCCCAACAGCGTAATAATATTCAGCATATATAATTCGTTTACATGATATAGAACTTTTGATGGTGCCCCACCCACCCCACCCGGACAAATTTCATTTCTAGCAGCTTTCTAGTTCAACCACAATGAAAATAATAATAATAATAATAATAATAATAATAATAATAATAATAATAATAATAATAATAAATTATTTATAATAATAATAAATACCTTCTACAGCCACCAAACTATGTAACCTCCGGAAATTAAAAGACCCACAATATTAAAATACACAGAACAAAATATCTGAGGTATAAGATAAAAAAATGTAAATATTTTTTTTTCGCCTCCTTTGTTTTTTGTTTTTTTTTGAATGTACTCATTTAGTTGATTTTTGCTTATTTGTTTCTTTGTAATTTTTTTTTTTTTTTAGAGTTGCTAAAATGATGCATTACTGCATGTATTGCCATCCCCAGGCCTCGGAAAGCTTCCATTTGGGTCCCCTCCTCCCATTTGGGGAGGAATTGTGGTTTTTAATTTTTTTAATTTTTTATTTTTTTTGTCATTTAGTATGGAGCAAAACGGCTGTATCCCCCTCGGTATATACTAGCCTGCAATGAAGAAAGAACGAGACCGACATCGTCAGCATGGCTTCTGTTCTTGGCATCACTCAGGGGTGTAAAAGCATTCTGAAACAAAGCAATTTGAGCAGTGGTGGGATTCAAAAAAATTTTACTAGTGGTTTTGTGGGTGTGGCTTGGTGGGCGTGGCAGGGGAAGGATACTGCCAAATCTCCATTCCCTCCCCACCCCACTAACCTGCTTCCCAGCTCCGTTCTCCTATGCAGGGCAACCAAAGAAGACCCAGCCAATCAGCTGGGACTCAATGGGAGGCGGAGAAGAGATGGGGTTGGCGGGGTCAGTCAGAGATGGGATTGGCCGGTTCTCCAAACTACTCAAAATTTCCACTCCTGGTTCTCCAGAACTGGTCAGATCCGGATGAATACCACCTCTGAATTTGAGGGGTGGGTGCTTGACTTCCACTTTTTTTTTGCCGTAACCAGATCTGCAATTTATTTATTTATTTTTGTGACCTTCTGGGGGATTTGGCTCCAACGCTTTTTCAAGACGCACTACAGGTAGTCCTCGACTTACAACCGTTCAAAGTTACAATGGCGCAAAAAAAAAAGATGACAATTTTTCACCCTTAGAAGCGTGATCAGTGTCTCCGTGGTCATGTGATCAAAATTCAGATGCTCGGTTTGTATTTATGACAGTCACGGTGTCACCCGGAATCATGGGATCCCCTTTTTGAGACCTTCTGACAGCCAAAATGAGTGGGGAAGCCAGATTCCCTTAACAACCGCATTACTCACTAAACAACTGCAGTGGTTCAGTTAGCAACGATGGCAAGAAAGGCCGTGAAAGGGGGCGAAATTCACTGAATGATTGTTTTGCTTAGCAACAGAAATGTTGGTTCAGGTGCAAATTGAGGACTACCTGTATCCAAACTGTGTCAGCAGTGGTTCTCCTGATGAATCATCATTGACCCAAACAAGGATTCATGGCTTCTTGATTAACTAATTGGACTGACATTGATTTATTAAATGGATTCGGCTCATTTTATGTCTCACGTGGTCTGAAACTGGATGCTTTTTTTAAAAAATGTACAAATCTGCAGAGTTTATTCTTCGTTAAGAAGCAAGGATACCAATAGCAGCTACACAACCACAGTGGGACCATCTCTTGATGGTAGGAAGGTTTAGGACATAGCAGGTGAGGTCTCAGCAAAAGGGTGGCACTTAGGGTCACTGGTGGGTGTTTAGTTCAACGTTTCTCAACCCATGGACTTCTGCTCCCAGAATTCCCCAGCCAGCTATGGAATTCTGGGAGTTAAGTCCAACACAGCTTAAAATCACCCAGGTGATTTAGCTGGTGAACCTTTGTCCTCATTAATTAGGTAGTTAAAATCCCATCTCCTATTTTACAGGCATTTGTAAAACCCACAAAGGGAAAATGCATTTGGGTGTGTGTGTGTGTGTGTGTGTAAGGGTCTTCTCCTGGACTGTTCTATTGGCAACTTTTCTTTGAATAGAGAAGTCAATCTCTTCATAAATCTGTCAATCAAGTTTTGTTTTAATAATCCAACACCGACGGCATGAACAACAAAACCAAATGGACCTATAAATATTTCTTTATTCTCATTTATGTAAATACTTGTATTCTGCCCTCCGAGTCTGTCCTACTATCTTTCATTTCTTGCCAAATGCACGTTGTTGATACATTCATTTTCTTTCTCTGGTGGCACGATTAAAGGCCCTTCATCCATATTAACATTTTACGGGTAATGTTGAGCCTTTTTTGTTTTGTTTTGTTTTGTTTTCGGCTGAAAAGTGCTGTGCAAAATTCAAATAAATGTCCCATTGGCAGGATCACAGCCTGGCCATTGTTGTAATATTTCAGATGGTCCATGTCAGCTCATTTCTCTTAGAAATGCAGACTGAACAAAATCTGTGAGGATCACTAAATGGGCTGCAGAGAAAAAAAGTGTGGGATTACTTGAGCCATTATGCACCAAAAGCTGCTTTCTGTACATGTGCTGTCCTGCCTTACAATCAATCAATGACACAAAATACAGTTTTCTGGATATCACCATTAACTTTGGTCTAGGGGCCTCCCTAACTAAAATGGCTTCCTGCTGAGGGATTGATATTAAACCTACCACCTGTGTTTCCCTCATCTTCAGAACTTTGATAGGGTAAATCTTGTTGATGTCTCTCTCACAATTATTTATTACATTTATACCTTGTGTCCCCTGAAGAAACTCATGTTGGGATCATTTTCCCTTATCTCATCCACTCTGTGAATTATGTTGGTCTCAAGAGAAGCTGTAACTCAATAGTCTTCAAATTTGGCAAGTTTAAGACTTGTGGACTTCAACTTCCAAAATTCCTGAGCTAACATGACTATAGGAGGAATTCTGGGAGTTGAAGTCCACAAGTCTTAAAGCTGTCAAGTTTGAAGACCCCTGCTCCAACTCATGGATGTCCCACTTTTGGGGTTGCTTGGGTCACATTGAGTGAAGAAGACTTGTCTTGAGCTACGTATAAATATATATAATATAGTTAATGCATACAAATTGCATAATAATGTTAAAAGTTTGTGATCTTGTGGGATCGCATTACTAGCAGTTTAAGGCCACATTCATCCCACAGTCTATTGGCTGGACACACTTGATCTTGTCCAAAGTTATTCCCCAGATTCCATCTTTGGGACTATCAGAGTTTGCACAACATCGCTAAGTTGTTGTTTTTTTAAACCATGGTTAGGCCTCTCCCTCCTTTTAGGCCTGGCTGTCTTAACACATGGTGACAACTCAACATATTTCATTAATCATTCAATACATTTTGCAAATCTTGAAAAGGATAAATTCAGTAACATGAATAACTATGGAGTAGAAGCTCAATCTAAATGTCTGGTGTGTTTTATTTGTTTGATTGCTTTATATCTTGCTTTTCTGTGAGAACTCAAGATGGTGAGTGGGAGTGATATGAGGGGGGTTCTGCCTTCATTTTATCCCCTCAGGGATACCCTTGTGGAGTCAGTTGGGCTGAGAAGATGTGTCATGACCCTGTTGGAATCTGATTCGAAGGGGGAGGCCGAACAGCCGACAGGGGGTGGGAGTATGGCTCTGTTGGCTGTGGAAGAAACTGGGGAAAGGTAAAGTCCGGCTGATCAGAGCGGGTGAGAGGTAGAGCAAGGGAGAGGGAATTCAGATGAAATCCCAGGCCCACCCCCTCTTCATCATAGGGCACACAGGGAGGAACAGAGAAGGGAGCAATGTGAGTTGCATGGCTTACGGTGGAGGAAAGGGCTCTGATTCCCTTGATTAGATGCAGTGTTTAAAAAGGGCAGCTATGCACAGCAAAGTTATTGGAAGCAAATCATGAGTTATCTGTTATTATCGAGGCTTATCTGGGTTCCTGGCATCTTCCCAACCATGAGTTTTGCCGTGTTTTCAAGTCTGAAAGTCCTTCTCCTGCCTTTTCAAGTTCATTACTGCAGCTTGGTTTATTTGGATTTTTAGTTACAGTCTGTATGTACCCTGTTTGGGACTGAATTTTCTCCAGTTAAAGGCTGTTCCTGGGAGAGTTTTTCTCCATCCGAAGGTAACCTGGACATTGGGGGCAAAGTTGGAGATAATAAAGGAACTCTTCTTGCTTATTTGACTGTGTTGCCTTTGTGCCATGCCCCTTTGGGTCATCACAAGATGTCTAGGGTCAGTCCATGGTTGGGCTCCCATGGTTGAATGTGGCCTTGAACTAGAATCCTAAACCAAAATTTGACCTAACCATTCTGCCTCCATGAAACAAGTACATATTCATAACGACTCACTGCCACTCAAACAGAAAGGTGGGGCCCCGCAAAATCCCCCCAAATTGATTTCAAATTGCAATAGTGAATGCGATTAAGAGATTGTTCTTTTTTATATATATTTTCACTTCCATTAAAAGTCAATAAAATGTAGTTGTTTTTTTACCCTGGTCTGACTTCTGTTTTGATGACTGTGCCTCCCCCAGTACTCCAACTCAAATATGCAATTGGAGCGTCTGGCCCAGTTGTGCTCCATCTCTACAGACCACTTGAATCTACAAATGAATCTATAAACAATTCCTGTGTTTGTTTGTCATAGTCCTATTCTGCTGACTCAGGATCATGGCAAAGCCTGGGGAGAAATTCTTACAGGATCAAATCTGGGTCAGTCATCGAGATGAGAGGTTTAGTCTTCCAAGCTTTTGGACTTGTGTTAGAGCCCATCCTCAGGGAACTTCTCTCAACTGGACTACTCTTCATGGCATGAGTTGCTGACTTTCTATCTGCCCAACTTGGCTATAGCTTGTTGATTCACCAACCTCACCCACTGTACATTTGTTAGATGATCTGGTACATCAAAAGACAAATTCATTGTGTGTCCAATCACACCTGGCCAATAGTCTCTGTGTGGTATTTATATAGTGCCTGTTTTGTGGAGTTTTTTATATATTGATTGGGGTGTTGATGACTGGTTATTAAGTCGTTGGCTGTTGTTTCCTTGTGCTGTCAAGCCCTCATCTCCTAAGTACTTGATAAGCTGCTGGTAAATCAGCGCTCTTGTTGACTGAAGAGAGGCCCAGTTCCCAGGCTTCAATCACTTCCCTGTCTGTTTTTATGCCTGTTCATCCAACAGTCTTAGTAGCAGAGTAGTAGACTAAACTTCTTGTCCCGGTGGCTGACCCAGATTGGATCCTGGGACATTATCCTGGGACACACACATTTGCCTTCATTTGTGAGAAATTCTTACACTATTTGTAGAGGATGTAGACAAGCTGAGCCATACTTGGACGCAGAAGTCAACTGGACTACTCTTCATGGCATGAGTTGCTAACTTTCTATCTGCCCAACTTGGCTATAGCTTGTTGATTCACCAATCTCACCCACTGTACATTAGTTAGATGATCTTGTACACCAAAAGACAAATTCATTGTGTGTCCAATCACACCTGGCCAATAAAGAATTCTATTCTATTCCATACAGATTGCAACTGTAGATGCAAGAGCCAGCTAGGATTTACCTGCAGCCCTGCCAATGAGTAAGTCTTGGTTTGTGGCAACATTACTATTGAAGTTTACTTTTTGCAAAGCAATTGAATG